CGCTCACCAGGGCCTGAGGACAAGGCAGTTAGGCAGCTGCCTGAGGGGCCACACTTCAGGAGGTGTTTTCTTCCTGCTTATGGCAATGCTTCGGCTCTCAGCTTTGCTATAAACCTATAAATCTATTGCCCCCCCCCCACACACACACACCGGACCCTTCATGAAAGCAGAGGGAAATGCATAGCAAATGTGTCAAACAGCTGAGCCACACTGCAAGCGGGGGCTTCCTCCGTCCTGTCCCGGGACCACATGAAGCCATCTCACTTTCAAAGCTTAGGCTTGGCACCCAAAGTGGGACTGTGCCTGGAGTCACAGTAGAGTTAGAGTAAAAATCTATTGTTTTGAGACAATTGTACTAATTTGCTTCTTGATTTCTTTAAACTTTCTACGATACGTGCATATCCTGAATGGACATAAGAATCTGGGGCCGGGTGGGGGGGGGGGAGTTATTTTTACAGTGAGGTAAAACTAAGGAACACTAAATAGTTCAGATAAACAGCTCTGCAGCCCTACGTATGCCTGGAACTGGCATGATGGTGACAACCCTGTCCTCTATTTGTGTTGCCTTTTCTATGTTACTTGTCCGTCCCCCAGTTCCACCCCTCCCCCTCCCCCATCTATAAAATGGAGATAATAGCATCACTCCTCAGGGGTGTGAAAATGAAGTAAGCTAATACATCTAAAGAACTTACAACAATACCAGGTGCACACAAAACAAGTTGTTAGTGTAATTATATATTGTTCTGGGGGTCATTTCGACCACCCCGGGTTTAATACGTTTCCAGGACACACAGGTCCCAGAAAAGCTGTTATACTCAGTTGTGGTTTGTTACAGCAAAAGAATACAGATTAAAATCAGCAAGGGAGAAAGGTGCATTGGGTGAGGTCCAGGTGCACAGGACCAGTCGCTGGCTTCCGGTTGTCCTGATAGAGTTTCATTCTCCCAGCAACATGTGACAACATGCACCAAGTGTGACCAATCAGGGAAACTCACCCACACGGTGGTGTCCAGGATTTCTACTGGCTGACAGGGGTCAGTCACACAGACCTGCAGTCTTCGATTCCTCCTTCCCTACCTGCCCCCACAAGAGGTCACACTGATACAGGGTGACTCCAAACCCAGACATACAGAAAAGGCATTCACAAGAAGTCACATTTTTAGCATCAACTATATGGCATGGTGCACAGTCTCAAGCATGCAGAGACATTTTATCAGGCAGGATACCCCAAGGGTTCAGAAGAGCCAGTCCAGGGATAGTCCTGAAGGTTTGGGCAACTCAGGCCTTCTGAGTTCACATTTTATTGCGTGTCGTATGTAAATTTTGCTTGTCTGGACAATCAAGTTCAACCATTTTAATGTTTTAAATATTTTTGTAATGTTTTTCTTTATTTTTGAGAGAGAGAGGGAGAGAGAGAGAGAGAGAGTGAGGGAATGGCAGAGAGAGAGGGAGACACAGAATCTGAGGTAGGCTCCAGGCTCTGAGCTGTCAGCACACAGCCCGACACGGGGCTCGAACTTGTGAACTGTGAGATCGTGACCTGAACCAAAGTCAGACACTTAGCTGACTGAGCCACCCAGGCACCCCTTAATTTTTTTTTTTTTTTTAGCATGTGAACATTTATTGAATGTATATTGCACACCTATCTCTTATAACCTCTCTATATACTGGAAAATAACTTCAGTTCACATTGTAAACCCAAAATAGAAACTGTTATCATCTGATATGAGGGGGCTTATCAGAAACTACGGATTGCTATTACTGCACTATGGTGACAGAATGCTCTGAAAATTTTGATTGAAATTACACATCAAATGCTTTACAAATATGATTAGCTTTAGTCCTTATCAATAGCAGTGGGAAGTAGGTAATAGTTCTGTGTTACAGGTGACAGAATAAAGGTCCAGAGAGTTTTAAGAACCCGTCCAAGGCTCCTCAGCCAGTAAAGGGCAGAGTCTACATTTACCAATCCGATTCCAAACCTTGTGGTCTTAACATCATGCATGATAGTTTCCTATGATCTTGAGAAACATGGGCATTTATTAGTATGACCAGTTGGTGCTCAATGTCAAATAAAAAATATTTTAGTTGATAATGGGCAGAAAAAATATGATTTTATGTTTTAAGTATTTGGGAGAATTAACTAAAAAATTCAAAGAAAGGAGGTGATTCAACTAGCCGTAATCACCCTCCATGGATGTTATTACTAATCGTAACCATTTATTACATCTCTTTCTCAATGAATCTAGTGTTGTAATTTTTCTTTTCTACTGGTAGAGGAGAATAAGAGAAGTAATTTTTGTATTCCACCCTTGAGTACTAAATACTAAAAAGTATTTGGGAACATTAAAAAAATCCGGTGTTCATTCGACTTGATGCATCTCAAGATCCGTAGAATGTTTAGACACTGGGGCAGCCTTGTGGTAGAACACACATGTTGCTTTGACCACCAGAAAAGATCTTGGCAAAGAGGCTTTCAAGATGCCTCTCCCCATAAATATGTGGTGTAGAATGCAAAAAAGCCAGCATGAGAGAGATAGAAAAAAAGAGGGGGATTATATTGTTATTCTGAGTGTTTGGATTCATAAGGGGAACTTAAAATCTGAATGCCTTCCAAGGTTCCAAAATTGTTGCCTCCATGAATGGTCTGTAATTGCTTCTTTCTCCTTCCCCTATTATTAGATCTCAGTCTGTGGTAGAAGCTGGGACCCTGAAACACGAAGAGAAGGGAGAGAACGAGAACACTCAGCCACTCCTGGCTCTGGACTGAACCCCGGCTCACCCCACGCTCCCGCAGATCGCCAGCCCTCAGTGGTATCAGCCACCCGGGAAGCACAGGCGCAACTGACCCACACAGACACGTGCGTTCGCTTGACATGAGGCCCTCCACTCTGCCACCTAGTAATGACTGTCACCAGCCATCGGTCTGAGCAGCCAAAGTGAACAGACTTGAGAGATGGTTTTTTGTTGTTTTTTTTTCAGTGAGGGGATTGGAGGTGAAGCAAGGCGGTATTCCCCTTTATTTACGGTATTCAACGAATTGAAAAAGGAAAAACTAAATTGATGCACACACTCCTTTAGGACAAGGATTTTTCTGAGGCACCGCAGATACCCTTTCCAGTTTTTGTGATTTAAGATTAAGCGCACTTCCAAGTAGATACACCAGAATTAAGCTGTGCAGACACAGCTGTCAAGCTCAATGTAAGTGCAAAGCCCCAAGACAGTAATCTCTCCAGTGATTTCCATTCTTATTGAATTATTTTCTTTGACCTCATCACCAGCATCGAATTGTTCAGCCTAAGGGCATGTTCTTGTAGGTCCGGCTATTTGCAGAGTTTGCTTATTTGGATATCCTGCAAGAATGATTTCGACGTCACATCTTTCTTTCAGGCCACCAGCTGATTACCATGATCTGACTTTAAAGGAAGACACACACAACTTGAAATATGATTGTTTCATCTTAATAATGTGACTTGTCACAGGCAACATGTATCTGCGGGGGAGGGGGTGGGGTCTCATTGAAAACACATGTCAGTGATGAATGAATCCATTCAAATTGCCTCACTCGGGTCACTACAGCAAAGAAAAGTGCTACTGAAGCATTTAGCGCCCCCCATCCTCCTGGAACCAGTTCAAGGTGTGGAGAAGGGACCTGGCTGTTGCTGAGAGGGTACATAACAATCCTGGAGGAAGACCCTTAAAGATGGCTAAATATGCAAATACTGAAAATAGATTAGGATTGCGGGATAAAATGCCAAAGATCATTTTATTTCTTTGTCTGTTCTCCTTAGAAATGGAGTCCCCAACTATCCAAAGGAAATGAAATAAAAGTGAATAGGATACGATATCCTTACTTGGGCCATGTTTCCCCAGATGAGTTGTATGTTTTTACATATATTTTATGCTCCCAGCCATCTGCATGACATGGGCATTTATTAGTATGACCAGTTGGTGCTCAATGTCAAATAAAAAATATTTGAGTTGATAATGGGCAGAAAAATATGATTTTATGTTTTAAGTGTTTGGGAGAATTAACTAAAAAATTCAAAGACAGGAGGTGATTCACCTGGCCATAATCACCCTCCATGGATATTACTAATCGTAACCATTTATTACATCTCTTTCTCAATGAATCTAGTATTTTAGGTTTTTTTTCTACTGGTAGAGGGGAATAAGAAGTAATTTTTGTATTCCACCCTTGAAATAAAATTTAAATAGAATTAAAAATATTTCTCAACCAACTGTATCACAGTACAAGTAAAGCCAATTCATTTTATGTAGACATTTCAAATAACAAAATAGTAACACTGAAAATCATTCTACCAATGCAGTGACCAAAATGCTTTCCTTATATTCCATGACAGAGGGAAGAAAGATAAAGAATTAAAGTGAATTAGAAAATCCATTTTATTACTTGTGTTTATAAAATAGTTGAGGGATCCAAGTGTTTAAAACGGTATCGGAGTCGATTATTGCCAACACTTTACAACAGTAAGGATAACTCTGGCTTTTCAATTGGCAACATTTAGAACCTACTGTAGTGACCTGATTTGAAATACCATATTATAATTATTAAGTCAAGAGCTAGTTTTTACTCTAGTCCGTGATTTCATTAAATGAACGTAAGATGATGGTTTAACACTGACAACTCATGCTTTAAATTTCTTTATGTGTATGCGGTATACATGTAAGAACCAAATTCAGTAAGTGACATGAATATTCTTACAGGAGCATTGGATTGTGTTGTCCTTTGTCAGTCATTTCTTCCGTTCAATAAATACTGAAGGACACAACACCTTTTTATTTTCAAGAGTTTGCTTTTTCTTCTGGACTTTGGTAATTTCGATACTTTCCTCATGTGCTTCTTCATCTATTTTAGTGGGATTGTTTTGGCAAAACAGACGGGAACAAAATATCTTGCAAACCCTTCTCACTGGAAGCTCACGTCAAGCCAAAAGGGTCCATTTCAACGTTAAAGAACTCTTTTTAAAAGACATAAAGCATCCCTCTTTGTCCTTAAATGGAAAGGAAGCACAAGTGTTTTTTTCTACCCGTGAATGAGATTTGGTAACTGCTGTGTCATCTCTTCAGCATTTTTGTTCGTATTGGCTTAAAATTCAGGTACATGAATATCATTACATTCACATAGCTATCATTTCTAGTTTGGACTGGAAACATGCAATATTTAATGCATTAATACTCTTCTAAGTTTGATCATCTTTGGAATAAGGAGGCAAAACCATTTTTCAACTGTTATTTCTACGCCGTGCGTAACATTAAAGCTAAACTATGGACAACGATTGCTACTTCAAAGCTATATTTAAATGGCAGAAGTTTCTCAAGCCAGGGAAACACAAGAGTCTTCCAAACTCTGTCCAAGAGGAAGGCGATCTGGACATCCTAAACGCAGGACTAAGATCCTGGCATTCTTGAGGTCTTTCACTCTGCCATCCTTCATATTTTTACAAAATTGTGGTGGGGACCCACCTAAGGACCTCCTCACTCACGTGGATCTACAACAGGCAAGGAGACTCTGGGTTCCAGCCCTTTCTCAGACGGCAAAGAGGCCAAGGAGCCCGATGTCCTAGCAGCCACCTCGCTATTTGATCCTGAGAGAACGTTTTTACTCCGAGAAATGTTACTTTTTCAAGTCCTAATTCTTGGCATTAAAAAAATTTTCATGTGGCACTTTCATACCTCGATATAAAATAATTCCATGTCTTCTTTCAGTGTGAAAAGTTCCTCTCAGAAAGACAGAGTCTCTACCATTTGCATGGTGAGGAGAGAAATTAAGACACCGTCTTTCAATGACGATTTGAAATAGCAAATGGACTCAGTTGGTAGGAAGCAGTACAGTCCGCAGACATCAGCACAATTACATCTTTCTCCTTTGTAGTAGGAAAATATAATTGCTTCTTTTATGAGTGTCTTTCACTAAAAATAATTAAAAGAGGGAAGTATGGGTTCACGGGGAAAGTTACCATTGAACAGCATTTACACAGCTCGTTATCAAAATCAACAAAAAAGTAGTGGTACGTGATGACAAAATTGCCTAGCTACCCTAGAAAAATATAATTGCATAGAAAGATTACAAGCTAAAGCGATCCATTCACAGTTTCTACATATCTTCTCATTGTACACTGATTTCGGCCTCTTCTAAGTGGAGAAAGCATCTTTGGCTGACAAGGTAGAAGCTATCCCGTATTCACCTGAAAATGTGGCATCAGATGGGTGCCGTCATGGGAGGAAGTAGAGCAGAGTACTTTCTACATGAACTGCAGCAAGGCAAATATTCCTTTTAGTGTCTTCTAATCCTAGGAGGAGCCTCAGAATTTTTCGGGCTGCAAGTCAAAGGAATCAAGGGCCTCAGACTTGGAACCTGTGTCCCTACACCCAAGGAGATGGAAGCGGAAAGGCAGCCTCTCTCCAGTGTGTTCCAAGCCTGTACAACATACTAAATCGCAGGCAGGCTCTGTCTCTGCTGGGGGGTCAGCTCTGGGTGCCACACGTCCACGATGAATATCAGCCGGAAAGACGCAGCGTCCTGCCATACCTCGTGCTCAAAAGAGTCATCAAAGATGAGCACCTTGCCTTCTTCCCACGTCCTGGAACAGAAAAACATGGGTTCAGATGTCTGAGAATCAACCCATGGCTATGTGCAGATGGGCACTTTCATGATAACCTTTGGGAGATGACCAGATAACTGGAACGCAAAGCCAGCATTTATTCTCTCCTTGGTGATTAAGAAAGAATTTAAGGATTCTTACCATGAATACAATTTTCGATGCTGAGCCCTGAACGTGAACACAGGGCAGGGGACTGGTGATAAGAGCATACTGACCTCACCACAGGCTTTGCAATTATTCTTGGAACAAGCCTAGGTGTGGCTTGTAGAGTCAGGCAAGCAGTGAAAGGCGTGCCCCGGTGGCTCAAGCCCACATGACTTCCTGGTCAATGACTGCGTGCTGTCCTCCCTTGGCCTTTCAGAGACTGGTCTAGACCTATGGGCAGCACCTGGGTATCTTCATGCCCCGTAGGATACCTGGAAGGGCGCCAGTGCATCTCCAAATGATTTTCTCAACGCTTTCCGTTGGTTAAAGCTCCATTTCGTGGAAGAAGTCCCATTTTATGGAAAGGCAGATTGGGAATGGATTTTGTTTATATTTTTAATGTCATTTGCAATGCAAGTGGGCTATCCATGGAGTATTTTAAATCAATGCTGCAAAACATTCTTCAGGGCCTCCAACATTACTTCATAAAATATGTGTATAGAAGCTAAGACCTAAACATAGTACTAGTCTAAATAAAGCAATCAAGACAGAAATATGCAGGGGCAATTACACAATGCCTTTCAAATCCAAAGAAAGTTTATTAGTCATGCTAATGTTCTTCTCTTTTTAAAATAGGTATTTACTGCCAATTACTTACATGCTAAGTTACATTTTTAAAATGAAATTATTACTAGGAAATTTTCTTTAGTATTAAAGTTCCATGCAAGCATTTGATATTCTATATTGTGGATTAGCAAAAAATTAAAATCATAGGATAGAAAATGCTAGCTTGATTTCAAGATTTCAGATAACTTGGGGGCTGTCCTGTGCTCTGCATACGTTTGACAGCCTCTCTGGCCTCTACCCACTAGATGCCGGTAGCACTCTCCCACCAGTCATGAGATCCAAAAGTATCCCCAGTCATTGCCAAATGTCCCTGTGGAGTGGTGGTCGGGGTGGGGGGGTGGGTGGTGAGAGGCACATTCATCCCAGACACATTGTATTAATCAGACAATAACATTTCTACGTTATTTAAAGTAAATGATAAACAAATGAATATTTGCCAGTTGAAAGTTCCTTGAAGTTGAGAATCAACCCCTACTTTCCCATTCATCCCCACCTTCCTACCCCATGTCACACGCTGTCTCACACACCTAGCCTAATAGCTTGCATTCAATAAACATGGGCTGCTTGACTCTTCACTATGATTCCTCTTATGGTTCAGAGTTCTACTGGAGTTCCATCCAAGTGAAACCAACAACAGAAATATACAGACACCAGAGCACAAGACAGAGTATATATTATTAAATATTATTAGACGCATATTAAAACCAAACTTGAAAAGAAAGGCAAAGTTAAGAAAAGGACAAGAAAAAGGAAGTGGAATGGCCCATAGCTTATACAGTTTGGTGGTGATGTTCTAGGCCTTAGTGTTACTGGTGGGGCTATGCAATGTGTATGGAGGATCGCTGACAAGCCTAAATACAGGCAGCAGATAAGGGGGGCAGTGCACTGTCGGGGGAGCGGCAGTACGCCCGTGTGCACAGCAGCATCGCCCATAGCAGCCAAAAGGCGGAAGCAACACAAGTGTCCACGGACCAATGAATGGGTACACAAAATGTGGAACATGCGTACAATGGAGTATCATTCAGCCTTCAATGGGAAGGAAATCCGGACCATGCTACAACATGCACATTATGCTCCGTGAAATAAAGCACTCACACAAGAACAAATATGGTGTGAGTCCACTTACAGGCGGTACCTAGAGCAAATTCACAAAGATGGTAAGAATGATGGGGGCGGGGGTTGTTCAGTGTGTTCAGTTTCACAAGATGAGGAGTCCTGTGGATGGACGGATGTTGGCGATGGCAGCACAGTAGGAACGTACACAGCGCCACTGAACTGTGTGGATATTTAGAAACGGGATGGTAAATTTTATGTTATGTGTTTCACCACTGTTAGAAAAGGAAAAAAAAAGGTGGGGGGAAGGGAAAGGGGAGCATGTGGTGGAAGAGAAAGAGGGAGAGAAACGGCACAGCACAATGGGCAGGTTACAGCCCTGAATGGAAGCAGATTTAAAACCAACTGGCCATTTACTACTGTGTGACCTGGGGGGTCACTCAGCATACAGGAGCCTTTGTGTCTTTATCCGATGAAGGGTAGAGAATATAAAAGAGGAGGAAGGAAAATACAGGAAAAAAAATAGGGAAAAGATAAGAGATAATAACATATGTAAGTGGTATAATGTTACCAAAAATAACCTTGGCTTCACGCCCTATGAATTGGCCTTCATTGAGAAGACAAAAATCTTCCAAGGGGGTGAGATACCAAAAATTTCAGAGACCTGCGAAATACACTTTGTGCTATCATGGCAAGGGTTCTCAAAGTTTTTTTTGAGTGGCAGAGGATCTGGAATCTACTTAAGATACTGGAAGTAATTCAAAGAATGGAACTCAAAATTCTAGGTTGCACAAGATGATATTTTTCACTCGATTCTGATGGGTGTAAGAAAGTCAAAGACTTAGGGATGCTTTACGGGAGAAAATTATTGAGCATCTCATTCATTAACTTACATTCCCCATGAATTGGGAAAAGCTTTTAGTGTTGAAACACACTGGTTTATTCCAGGAACACCAGTGTCTTTAAGGGTGGAATTTGAGTGACCACTGTCTGTGGCTTTTCAGAAATCTTAAGTCAAGTATGGACCAGTGTAAACCATTGATGAAATATTTTTTTTTTTTTAACAAAAATCTGGGAGGTATTCTAAAGAGTTGGATTCCTTTAGGGCCCTCAAACTCACGGGGAAGTGTGTCCTGTTATCTTCTCTTTGCCCTTCCATTTTCTTTTTTTTCTTTTCTTTTTTTTTTTTTAATTTTTTTTAACGTTTATTCATTTTTGGGACAGAGAGAGACAGAGCATGAATGGGGGAGGGGCAGAGAGAGGGAGACACAGAATCTGAAACAGGCTCCAGGCTCTGAGCTGTCAGCACAGAGCCCGACGCGGGGCTCGAACTCACGGACCGTGAGATCGTGACCTGAGCTGAAGTCGGATGCTTAACCGACTGAGCCACCCAGGCGCCCCAGCCCTTCCATTTTCTTTCAGACAGTTTTCCAGAAAAGCTGCCAAGATACCCAATTATTTAATGTAGATTCCTTGTGACTACTTCAAAACTGGCATGTTTCAATCCCTCATGAGAGCTAAAATGACAAAAAGTGTAGCCCTCGTTAATCTGAAAGGGAAAAACAAAAAATCCCATCCAAGCCACGTGCAGGCTGAGGGACTGAGGTTAACTTGAGATAAATGCCTTGCTTGGGAAAGGATGAGGTTTTCCAGAAAAAGCGACAGCTCTAAATCGGTCAAAGGTCTTCAGATCTCTTCTGAATAACAAAGACTCTCACTGCAAGGTGAAGAAAACAGTTTTCAGGCCACTTGCTTTGTGAGCAAAGCTTCACCAAATATGATTAAGTTATACTCCAAGTATGACCTGAAAGGTGCCCTCTGGAGAAAAGATTTTCAGGGTTGCCCTTGAGTTTCCTGAGGGCGCACCCTGCCTTTCTCTCAGGGCTCAGGAGAGCAGGACCAGAGTGGGGGGCTGCACCCTCTGCCCAGATGGCTACCTCATCTGGCTTTGAGAATGCCTTAGCATCGAGAGAAGCACGCCTCTCCCTGGTTTGCAAAAGATGCAAGAATACCTGGTCAAAGACAAAGTAATGTCACATAATTCTTCAGTTTCTCAAATTACTGTAATTATAATTAACGATAATGGTGGCAGTATTGTACCCAACAACCACACTGTGTCACAGAATTATCGTCAACACTAATCATGCTAAACAATGATACTGGGTGCTTATAGAGTCTGCCACCTAAACACTTTATTGATCACATCTCAGTGATCCTTGCTAAAATGTTGAGGTAGGCAAGAGACAGGGTTCTAATTTTCCAGCAGAGGAATCCTATGGAAGCAAGTTCAGATGTCTGCAGTGATACTGCGGGTCTGTGGAAAAAGCGCAAAGTCACCAGCCTTGCTTCATTAGAGCCCAGACCTTCAGCTAGAGATCACGGTACTACTAGGGGACATGCTTAGCGCCTGCGCTGCTGTGGGAGGTGGCCTGGAAGCCATTTAACAGGCTGAGTGGAATACAGAAAAAGGGTCAAAGAGCTCAGCAATAAGGCTACATAACACAGTACTTATTAATCCTGACCTACTGAAGTCCCTCAATTCTGACTGCATTAGAAATCCTGGCACATACTAGAATCGTAACGTAAAACTCTTCTCTCTCTCTCTACCTAATACACGAAGACAGAAATACACACGTGCACAAATGCACATTTTTTTCTATGTATATATGTATGTAGTATCTATCTATCTATCTATCTATCTATCTATCTATCTATCGGCACAAAGCATTTTTCTGGAGGCTAGGACACCTGTGTTCTCGTTCTGACTGCTGCTGACTAGCCATGTGATAAAGCACTTCACCAAGGGGCCTCCATTTCCCCATCGGTACAACGACAGAGATGGAAAGATGGCCTCTAAGGCTCCTTTCCACAGGAAAATTCCCTTAATTCTCTGAGCAGAGTTGCTGGTTAGGACTTCGGTCTTCACACGACATTTCACAGGGCACGCTTAAGCTTCCGTCTGAGAAATGGAGAAACAGTGTTTGCTGCTTTGTTTCAGGTCAACATATCAATTCCAATGAAAGACGGCTGACTTCACAGAGAAGCTCTCCTCCCGACAGATCGTGTGCATATGCACCCCTAGCACATCTCCCAGCCCCTCACAGAGGAGCCCGGCCCGGCTGCCACAGGGCCGCCCTCCCCTCCACAGAGGCCTG